GAAATTGAAAATGTAAAATAATGAAAATAAAAAAAGTGGAAATGCTCAGTTGTAATGAAGTTACTTGCTCTAGAAACCGCTTTTTCCACTATATTAATATCCGTCATTACATTTTTTGCATATCTTTTTTGGAACTGGCTTGCGGTTTACATCAATGCACTTTTTACATTCTGTTGCACTTGTACAATTCTCACATTTTGAGTCACATTGTTTGCAAGCTTTTTCAGTGGCATCCAAGTAATACCATTTGACACACTTTTCACATGTAAAACCAGTTCTAAAAGTTTTTGGATCACAAACGGTGCAAAGCTCTTTATCAGTGCAAACATTGCAATTTTCAGCGCATTGTTCACATTTGCCTTTGGAGTTTAAAAACTTGTTCGTGTCTTTACATATAGTACAATTTGTTGTTGGTTCTCTTAATTCATCAACACACTCGGTACAATGGACGTAAATGCCATTGCCATAGTGACATTCCTTTTTGCAAACTTTTTGATCATTAAAGCAAGCAACACATGTATTGGTATTGGATCAAGATAGACACCCTGATCATACTCACATTTTGGTGGGTTTCTTTTGTTCTTACATTCTTTACATTCAATATTTCCATCTTTAATTTCACAACCATTACAAACACTAGGACATCTTGCACATGTTCCATCAGTTGAATTGAATGTGAAGCCATCTTTACAAGTTGTGCAATACTTTGCCGGTTCTGAAGCTGGTCCATTTAAAATAGCATTACCATCTTTACATTGAGTGTAAGCAGTTGAACTACATGTTAAACACCCAATTCCGTGACTGCACGCTTGACATACTTTTTCGTCACCATGTAATATCCGTCAATACATTGCGAGCATTGTGTTGTAACAAATCCAATTGCCATGTGTTCTTTATCACATGCCAAGCAATTAATTTGTTTGTTTTGGACAACACATTTACCATCTGTTGAACAACCTTCAATTTTTTGTACACAGACATCAATCTTATTAACTCCAGTCACATAGCCAGCGTTACATTCACATTGATTTGTTGCATCTCTTCCCTGTCCATTATATTGTGTCGGTTGACACGTCTTACAAGTCACTTCTGTTTTATCATTTTCCAAAACACAAGTTGCACATTTTTCGGGGCACTTTTCATCATTTCAAATAAGTTCCTGTTGGACACACACATTTTCCTGCAGACGTGTATTTTGCTCCAGTTGCACAGAGTGCGCAATGTTTACCATTTGCACTCTCAATACATCATTCAAGAGAATTTATTTTTTCACAATCAATCACTGTTGACGCATTCTTATGATAATATCCATTTTTACACATACAATTTTTGGTCACATCTCTGTTGTTTTTCGCACACTCTATCTTGGTATTACCATTTGTTTGTGTTTTATACATGTAACTTCTTTTCAGTATTGGATTGCGTTTACTTCCGAGATTGGTGGTCTCGTTATATGCTGGTACCAACTCTTCGAAGAAAGAATTGACTTCTTTGTACTTACAGAACTTATAAGTTGGGTCATAAGTATCGACAATTTCCAATATAATGTCAGTTGGAGTTAATTTGCATTTTCCATTTAATAAAACACCGTTTAGGTTTCCATTGTTAAAAGCATATTTGTAACAAGTCTCACCATCATCAGCACATTGAGCACAATTTTCATCATCACATAATTCTACTTTAGTTGACTTCCAGTTGTCATACAAGGAAATTCCGGGCATTGGCGTATCTGCAGTCAAACAATCCATAAAATGTCCTTTGCATTTTTG